ATTCCCAATCATTTCCTCCCCATCGCGTTAGGCAGTTCTTCCCTGTTGTCCACATCTTTACTTTTTCCATTTTCATAAATTATCTACTCTCTAAGAATGTGACCAATCAAATCAAATTATAAACTAATTATAAAATTACTAAGTCCAAAAATATCCATAAAAATAATGAATTTTATTGACTTGTTTTTCCTTTCTGAGTTTCTTCCTTTGTTTTACGATTCAAGTTCACTTAAATTTTTTCTCAGGTACCATATAGGAGATGTTGGTTGTACATCGTTATACTATAAATAGGTTACCAATGATATGCAATAGGCATCCAACGAATTAGGCTATTGCTAATGAGGAGGATCTTGCAGAGAAAGGCATAGGCAAGTTATTGAAAATTTTGAAGCCATATAATATTCACGTATATATAAAGATGTCAATATCAGTGTATTCTGTTGATAGAGTGTTAAATTTTTTGTTTAAAATATTAAAATTTTAATTTTAATAGTTTAAATTCTAATAATTATTATCTATATTATTGCATTATTGTCTATATATTTTTTAACAGTCTAAATTGATTCATTCATATAAATTTTTTCATTGTGTTATTAAGCAAAAGTAAAAAAAAAAAAAAAACAAAAAAAAACACTTAAAATTGAGTGAAAGTAGTAGGAACAGGAATGAGTATGCAAATCTTGAACCTCAATCTTTTTAAGAACTAATAATCCTTAAATCAAATGTTTATTTATAAATATAATGTTAGTACATAACAATTAAAAAATATACAAACAATTTGTAGATAGTTTTGACTTTTGATATCATGCAAGAGTCAAATTTTTATGAACATACTCGAGTTAAATCGATTGGCAATTTTATGTTTTACTGAATATAAGGTTTTTGTACATCCTCAATTATTTGATCTAATTTTTATTGATTTTAAAATGTAAAAAATAATTATTTAGTGTAGTCAAATTCTAAACTTTGTTGTTTTTTTCCCTTTCCTTTTGCATGCAGCCAAAGAGACTTGGTCTGACTTTTTCCAACCCCAACTACGTATCTTCCTTTCATGAGTTTTTTTTTGGGAAATTTGTATATGTTTGGTTGTTCTTTGCATACACATGCATGCACACACATACACACATATATATATATTTATGAAATTTATATATGTTTGGTTGTCTTTTACACACACGTGTGCACGTATATACACATATATATATATATATGTTACATCTAAGTCAATTAATCAACAGTCAACTTGGGTCAATACAAGTCAATTGTCAATTTGATCAAAGTTTAATCATTACAGTCATAACGTGGGGTCACTTAGATAAGTCATGTCTATATAATCATATCACCTGCTTTAAGGAAGTTGCTCATCCTTCGCCAAAAGAAGAACTCGCCCAAGGTTCCACTAACAACTTATTAAGACAATCATTTCAAAATTAATCATTTTGTATTCAACTTATCTGAAACCATTAAATATAACTCACACTTGCTTGAGATCACTAAATACGACTTACATCTAGTCATGTGAATCCATCTCGAGTTTCATGCAGACATCTCATTAGCTATCAATTGTCCCAATCAAATAATCATCCCTTGATCTCATTCATAAAGTAATTGTAAGACCATGCACGTAAAGGAGAACCCTACATTAACTTTGAATTTTCCCTCCATTGAAACTTCCTTTACATACTTCACCACTTTCATTTTTTTCCTTCCTTTTTTCCTTACCTCAAACACTTTACAGACATGAGTGTCAGAGCATGTCTTGGAGTAAAAATTTTGATGTCCTTTGATTATGTTTTTTGACTGCATGTTCTAGCTATCTTCCCTCTAACCTCACCTCTCCTCCTTTCAATTAAGACAACTCAAAAACACCATCAACAATATATAATTTATATGTTAACTCTTTAAAAAAAAGTAATTAGAAGTTAAAAGCAAATAATAAGAAAGAAAATCATAATTTATTAAAAAATAAACTACTTTTAAAGTTTGAAACAAATACTCAAATATACAATTATATATTTGTTTGATACAAAAGTAATAGTGTATTTTGTAGTCTACGAAAATTAAAATTCTAATTTTCAACCACGAGATGTTATTTGATATAGAATACATTTTTTTTTTTTTTGGCTACAAAAGTAATTGTGTGGCAACTAAGTGAAATCTAAGGCAAATCTTTATATATAGGAATATGATGATGATGAAATAAGCTTATATATATATATATATATATATGTAAAATGAGCATTCAACCTATATGTACATTTTGGTTATTAAATTTTGAGAACCTTTAAAGGATTTTGATTTTTGATGGGATGCATCTTAAACTTTGGAGAGACAATCCAAACTTTAACCATTTACAAATAGTAGGTTTTTTTGCAATAAACAAAAAGTAGGTTAAAAGTGCACATATATACATGTTATACACTAATTAAATTTAAAAAATATTGTCAACGAGCTATTGTTTCAGCGATATTGATATAGAGGAGATCTTGAAATTTTTAGATTTCAAGTACAATTACAATGTCTAATTTTATGTTGATTTTCTTTCTTAAAGTTAAAAATAAATTTTATTTAAAGTATCGAAATGATTATAAGTATACAATAATAAATAAGAATATAATAAAATAGGAAGTATATAAGCTCAAATGACGCTGTATTAACACGACATGAGATTCAATTAGCAGCACAAAAGTCCAATGTACAAAAAATATGTAAAGCAACAGTAAAAATATGAACCAACAGTAATTGCTTGTAATCTTATAAATTTAATTAAAATATTAAACTATCAAGTTTTTAATCATTTACTAATACCCATCCTTTTATTTTATTTTTTGTTTGTTTCTCATTCAAGAAAATCACGCTTACGCATCTATCTTAAATAACAATTTTGCCTATATAACAATGGATTTTCTTAATTCTTTTAAAAAAATTTGTTTCAGATCCCTTCCACCTAAAAAAAAATTTTCTTTTTTAGTGCAATATACTTGTAGAGTAGACCATGGGAGATGAGATCGATCTCAAGACTCAATTAAGCAATCAAAGTGACTATTGTGCATTGAACGAACCGAAAGAAGCAACACAAAGATGCTAACGTTGCTTAAAATTATTTGATCTATTTGAAAAGCCTTGAATTTTTAATTTTAATGATTAAGAATTAAATTTTGATAATCTTATCTTTTGTTTTTTAATTTAATAATTAAGGAAATTTTAAAAAGGATATGAAATTCTAGTTTCTGAGTTAAAAACTCTCCCTTTTCCTTAGGATTATGCCATTTTGTAAATAAAGAAAAATCTAACAATTTTAAATAAAAAAAAATTTAACATTATCTCTGAAAGGTACACTTTAAAATTACTGCTTTTAAAATGGTAAGCAAGGAGACGAGAGATTGAAATTTGAACTCAATTAAAACCAGAGATCATGAAATTGCATATATATATATATATATATATATATAAATTACTTGACCAATGATGCTTGTTGAAAAAAAAGAAACTGGCAATAGCAACGGAAAGGCCTCTTATGATCCAGTTGTTTGGTGTTGTTGTTTACATGGTAAATGAAGATGGTTCTGTATAAGAGGTCGAGCTAGACCTTTGCAAAGGGTTATTATTAATGCTCCTGAAATGGTTACCAAGGTGCCTAACATTTTGACCCCGCTCCTTGAGCTTGTCAAATCTAATTTTTTTCGTCGTATTTGAATGGGAATGATTTTTAAATTATAATAAAATTTTAATATAATATTTAAATTTAAATTTTTTTTATTATAATACCTAAATTATATGTTAATTAATATGATATTTAAAAAATTATTTATCTATTATATATTATTATTTAAAATTAATTATATTAAAAATGAGTATCATATATTTTATAAATTTATAGTTTACGTATGCTAATAAAATTTTTAAAATTTAAATAATATATTTTATTATAATTTAAAAGTCATGAATGACATTAAACCTATTTGAGTTAATAAAGGTTAAATAAATGAATTGCTACGATTTATAAAGTGTAAATTAAACGTTTATTCATTTAATTCAAGATGATATTTTACTTTTGTCACTTAACTATGAAAAATTACTATGTAGTAATTGATATTTGTGAAATTAATTTTTTAATTCCAATCTTCTCTAATAGTATGTCGATGTGATATTTTCACATCTTCTGTCAACATCAAATTGATATTACCACATTATTTGACATGTTTATGGCGTTTATAAAATTATACAATTACCATAAAAGGTGCATGAAAGCATTAATTTTTTAAATTTCATAAATGAAATTAATTGGGTAATTCATATCTCATAGTGTATATTAACAAAAACAAAAAAATTAATTAAAAAAAATGAAACATGTATTAATTATTTTTTTATTTATAAAAATAAAAAATTATATAAATAATGTATCAAATACTAGTTATAAATTAGTACACTTCCTCATTCATGTTGATAAGGCTTTGACTTGTTAATGACAAAAACAAAACTCACTAATGCATTCCCAGCACAATTTGATTGGTCAATTTTATATTTAACAATATTTGTTTCAAAATATAATTTCTTTCAAAGAACTTATCTAGAAAAAGATTAAAAAAAAAAAATGAAATATGAAAAAAAAAAAACCGAAAAACCATAATAGAATAAAATATATCTTTTCATTTGATCAGTTTTGTTCGTTCTCCATTTATAATGTTCCTCTCTTTTTCTAACTAAAGACTCGCTTATTTTATTCAATTTTAAAAATAAAATTTAATTGGCCAAATTTATATGCTTAGTAATATTATTTTTTTCAAATTATTCTAAATTATAACCTTTTCTTGTGTATAAATTTAGAAAAAAAAAAAAAGAAAAAAATGGATAGTAGAGTAAAATAAGAAAGGCCCAAAACTTTCTTTATCCACGAAGGCCCAACAACTATGGCCGAAGCTGCACTAAACTCAATGGCCTCACCATTCACTCACCACGCTGTTGGGTTGAGCACATTGGAGCTCAAAACCCATAATTTATTTTCATAATTACTTCTCCAAATTCATTTCATTTTGTTTTTGGTTACGTTAGCAAAATCGCAACAGAGATTGAAGGAAAAGAAGAATACGTAAAAAGGGAGAAAATGGGTGCGGTGGAACGCAGTGTGGAAGAATTTTTGGAGGAGAAGAAGCGCGTGAGGAACCCTCTTGTCCCTGTCGGTAATTTTCCCATTTCTCCTCTTCAGTTTTTCATTCATTTTTCTGTTTTTATCTGTTTTAATATTTATGTATAGAAAATTTTTATGGTCTGAATTTTATACAAAATAAAACTTTTGCTTCAGTTTGTGGGTAAGGTTGTGGTCTTGCAGATCCATTTTCAGGGGTTAAAAGATAAATTTTTTACTTGGAAGGATGTTTCTGATAAAATTTTCTCCTTTAAACTTTAATTGAGAAATAGTTGTTGTTTTGTTCAATTTTCAGAGCCCGATAGCCAATTTGAACTGCCCAATTGCTGTAACTAATTCAATCCTAGTTACAACACTATGGCCAGTGCTTTATTCCTTTAAATAAAATAGGGCTCTAGTGTGAAAAGTGTGAAGAGTAGTTCAGGGTTTTCAAAATTGGTGTGAGCTTAGTGCTTTGATTTGTTTTAGGGAGAACTAAACTTCCAAGTCCTCTATCCAGCTCAATTGCGGCAAAGCTAAGTCTATGTGGAATAATCTGATCATTTGATGTTATGTACATTGGGTGTTTCCTTTTAATATGACTCCCAAAATATTCGTTACTTTAACGACATGATTACTTTGAGTTTTTGCTTGCTTATGTTTGCAAGGAAGAGCTACTAGCTATTTAACTTCATGGGCTTAACCCAGCACTTCTTGTGGTCGTCTTGTGTTTACTATACAAATGGTAGTCACAAATTTCTGAGTGTAGCACCTGAAAGGATGTAATAGGAGACTTCCATGGATGGCAACTTTTTGTAATAAAAGTTGGAGAAGTGTTTTGGTTTACTCCTTATTCTTGTTTGTGGATGATTGAGGACTCTGCTTGATCTTTTGTTTCTAGCTCCTAGGACTACTTAGCTGCTTGGACTCACCTACACTTTTCTTTCATTGTAATAGAACTAGTATTGCATGAAAATATGCTGATCCTGTGACTGTGAGCATATCCAAAATATTTCAGTGTTTGAAATACAAACATTTTTCTCCTTTCTAGAGAAATTGAAAATTCTCTTCACTAGTTTTTGACCAAGAAGTTGGTGTGTTCAATATGGGAGTATTTCAACTACAATTCTTTTTACTACAACGCTACACTTTTCCAATCACAAGCAAGAAGTATGTGAGGGTCCACCACTTATAAGAGTGGACTCCATATAAGTTTTTGGTAGACCCTACAGAACTCTAAAATCTGATTGGTTAATTGTAGTACAATTATTTTAGGTGATATGCTCTCGTTCAACATGAAGCAATGGGCATACTATATTTTGGTATTTTACTATTTCCATTTTTTTATTTTCCCAAATTTGCCTTTATCAAAGTGTTATAATCATTAATGACAAGATTTCATTTATAATTTGATAATTATAGTGATCATAGCTTTGCTGTGAATTCAGTTCACCAATTTCATTAATAACATGAATGGTAAGATGCTTGTTTATTTATCGACTATAATTAGTGAGATGCTTTCACCCTGATCAAGCCTAGGCATGAAGGGTTTGTGTTTTGCATTTAGGAACCCTGGAGGCCTATGTCCAAAACGTAATCAATGACCGACTTTGTATGTTCTATATTACAAACTCCACACCTTTTGCCAGTGATTTGACTTAATTTATTATCTAACTAACTATCTCGGAAAGTTTGCACCTTTTATCCAACCTGGAAGAAACCTATTTCTGTTCGACCCTATGATCCCTCTTAGGAATTTAACAAAGAGATTGATTTGATGTAGCATTGTGTTCAATTTGGTTCTATCTGTTGTCATTCTGAACTTCATCTAGTATTTATATTGTTTTCTGTTTTTTCTTTGTTTTGTTTTTGTCTTTATGCAATGTGGCTATTTCACAGACTATTTTGTCAGATCAATAGCTTATATTACTTTAGGCATTTTCTACATGTTATAGACATTAGCTTAAATTACTGTTATGGATGTTATTACCATTCTGAACTACAGAATCTAATTCCTTTATTCTTTCTTTCATCCGCTATAGCATTTTCCTGCTGTGATATTCTTACTCTTACTTGGAAGTGATGTAATAGTTTTGACTTTGGTGTAAATATCTTTGACATATGTTTACCTTACAGGTGCACTTATTACTGCTGGAGTGCTCACTGCTGGGTTAATCAGTTTTAGACAAGGCAATTCTCACTTGGGTCAGATGCTAATGAGAGCTAGGGTGGTAGTTCAGGGGGCCACAGTTGCACTTATGGTTGGCACTGCATACTACTATGGGGATAATCCCTGGAAATCGAGTTAGACTCTGAACTACTCAGTTTCTTGTAGTTCTCATAGTGGCCACATTACCAATTGGAGGACCAATGTCCTAATAAGTAACACTTAATTTTTATTGCTTTACATGATCAAATTTGCTTAGTTGCAATCATTACTTTTTATTTTGCGAATTTTGTAGCTACATGTTCAACAAAAGCATCATACCCAAATGACCACAGTTGATATATTTTGGAAATAAATTGAATGTGCTGGCTGGTTGCAGCATTCCTTCTAGGCATGACTTGTTCTAAGAAGTTAAGAACCCTCCGTATTTACTTTTATTATTTGGGTAAATAAATACTTATATATGAGGAGGGATCTACTTATACTAGTGTAAGTGTTATATATATTTTTGATTATTGGATCAAAATGGCTAAGTGTGATGGATTTAATTTTGATCTACACACACACACACACAGATATATATATATATATATATATATATATATATATATACAGATATATATAGATACATATGAGGAGGGATCTACTTATACTACTGTAAGTATTATATATTTTTTTGATTATTGGATCAAAATGGCTAAGTATAAGTGTGATGGATTTAATTCTGATCTAAGGGTTAAAAAAAATGTGTAATACATTAGTGTAAGTGGATCTTACTATAATATATATATATATATATATATATATATATACACTCTGTTTAATATGTTAGCAAACAGAAAGAACATCTGTGTTTTTTCTCCCCGAAGAGTTGGGGAAAAATCGATATACTGGGCACCCACATGGACATGGTTGCTGTGGTGTCTCCGCTTCAATGGGCGCATCATATCTGGAAATGTACAGTTAAAGCAAATTGCTTTCATAAAATAAGGTGAGAATCAGCTGTTCAACACCATCATGTGACAGAATTTGAAAGAAGCAGTAGCATTTATCATGGACAACAAGCTGCCTAGTACCTACAATGTATGGAGACCCAAAGGACAGAACCATCTTGAAATTTCATTTCTCCATCAAAAGGAAAGAGGTAAGCATTTGTGTAAAATAACTTACTTCATGATGCATATAAATGCACCTAAGAGGGATAAGCATAAAATTACAAAAAAAAAAAAAAAAAGATTTTGTCTTTGAGCCTGTCTTTAGAAATAGATCTATTGAGAGTTGAGACCCCTAAATTTCATTGTATTTATTGGATCTGTCAATGGGGTTGAATTCATGGCTAGATATAAAATGGAAGAAAGAAAGTGCATCTTCCCGGGTGAATTCAAGGAGACGTACAATGAGGTAGCAGTTCAGTTCGAATGAAGGTGCGGAGGCTCCACGCAGTCATGGGCGGCACCTCGATAAGCTTTTGGATCATACAGTCGACTAAATCTTGCATTCGAGCAAGTTAAAGTCCTGGAGGCTCTTGTCAAACTCAAAATAAAAAATTAAAAAAAATCAGTTCATATGGTTGTAATAAATAAAATTAATAGAATGTACTTTAGTATTGAACAAGTGATGCCATCTCCTAATTGCTATGGTTTTTGAAATCTCAATTTTGCTTACAATTATTTTATAAAAATATAGTAATTCGTCTCTAACTAAGTCATTTCAATTGTTTGTGACATACCAAATACAATTTGATCAAATCAATAGAAATTGCTTCTATATTATCAAATTGTTCCATGTATCTCTTTTATCCTCTTCAAACAATTCTTTTTTTTTTTTAACTTTCAACCTAATAAAATTATTTATGGTATAATATGCATTTCGTATATAAAGTTATTTTTTAAGAGGATGGTTAAACATATCCCTCGATATAGTAAATTTTTTCTTTTTAGTATTTATTTCGTTCAGTCACATTATAAATAGAAATATGCTTCACGTTAAATAATTCTTCCTTTTCTCTTGATCGGAGTGCGTTCATAAAATCTCGTGCATGATATCTTTATCTATAAATGATGCTAAAAATCCAATTATGTTTAGGTATCCTTTACAAAATATTTACTTACAATATCAATATTAATAGATATAAAAAAGAAATATAAACACTACAAAAATAACATTAACTCTACATAAAATTTACCTATTTTGTATGAAAATAGGTGAAATTTTTCGTCCAAAATCATTAAAAATGATTACGCTCTGATCAAAATTTTTCGATTTTTTTATGCTTATGATTTTTTCATAAAACAAAAAGTTATGTCATTATCACAAAAAATCTCAATATCATAATCATATTGTAATCTTAAATAGTTTTTTAATTACAAATTATACTCTTTAATATTATAATAAAATACATAATTCCATAATATTACAGAATCTTAAATCAATAAACCTTTTTATCAATTTATAATATTATGTTTCTTAAAATTAACATACTTCAATCATTCGGACTCCCATCGAAGATTGAATGGCAAAACATTGATAGTGTATTAGGTGACATCATTACAAAGTGGTTAAAAGAAGAAAAAAAATATTTATGGGTGTTAATATAGACAGATATAAATATGATTATTTTTTTACATTAAAAAGCTAAATAAATTTAAGACGTCAGCAAAGTACTACTGATTAAAAATTTGAAACTATACATGATTGTACGAATTCCAAGTTACAATCTATAATATTACTGATTTTTTTATACGTGTCATTAATGAGTAATAATACAATTATTATTCCTTTTTATAATAGTAATAATAAAATGATTATTTTTCACTTCAAAAAAAAAATACAAGTATTTTTCTTGTTTATTTTTTGTATAATCATTGACAATATAACCTTATTATTTATATATACACATGCATAAATCAGGATTTCTCTCTTATTATTATTTATATTTTTTGTATAATTATTGGTTGCTTTATAAAAATAAAAAATATATATGTTTAAACTAAAAAAGAAATAATTAATTAAATACATGGAGCCTAGAAGGCTAGAAATACTAATTAAGATAAATTAGAATATTATTTAAAATTTTTTATTTAATGTATTATTTTCATTAAAATTTGAAAAAAAAAATATATTGATTATATTTTTTTTATAAAATAACCTTAACTCTATTAACATATTTTAATTAATTTAATTACCACAAATTAATTAATCATATATTATATATTATATATATTATTATATTACAACAAACAATAAAATTTGTCATATGAATGTTTATGTGAACAATTTTTTTAGATGACATATTGGATAATTTTTTTAAAAAAAGTATAGATTCTTTTAATTACAAATTGGATAATATTGAATTTATTAAAATATTAAAATTATTCAAATTATAATTACAAATTAATATTAATTTAGAAATATATTTTTTTAAGTCAAAGTTTTGAATTTTGAATTTTATTTGAATAATTTTAAATTTTTAGTAGATAATCTTATTTTATAAATTATTTAATTATAAAAATCTTTCATAAAATTATAAAGACTAAGTTTATCCGAAATTTTTAAAAATTTACTATATTCTTTTATCTTAATTTTTATCAAATAAAAATTATCTTTTAAAAATTTTATGTAAAATATTAAAAATTCAAATAGTATTTTCATATTAAATCTTTAATAATAGGATTTATATCCATATCAACTCTAATTATCAATTTTATATTTAAAAAATATGAAAGAAATTTGATTTAATTTTTTTCGTTTATTTCATGTTAATTTTTTTAAATATCAATTTAAAAATTATGAATTCAATCCTAAATGTCATATAAGAGTTATTTTATAAATTAAAGATTATAAATATAATGTATGTGTTATATCTTTTTTTTTTTTTTTTTTCAGTTTATAGTTTTTGAATCTATTACTATTACAATTTATTTTTTCAATTTGCATTTTTCTTTTCACAAAGTATATTCTATTATTATTGCAAGTTTGTTTTTATAAAAAAAATAATATTTTTTTCACTTTATTTTTTTCACACATCTCCTAATAGTTTTTTTATATTTTGTATAATAATTTGAATAAAATTTCAAAAAATAAATATATATTTATACTTTTTTTATTATTTAATTTATCATTTAATAATATATATGTTTTTGTTCTTTCAAGAAATATAAATAATTTATTTTATTTGATCTAAATTTTAAATGTATAAAAATTATTATAAATAAAAATAGTGTAAAATGAAAATATGTTATTTTCTTTTTAAATTTTTTTTAAAAAATATTTTTTAGGACAAATTAGTTTAATTAAAAATTTTTATATATTATAAATTTTAAAATTTTAAAAATAATTTTTAACAATATTAAATTATGTATATAAAATAAATAAAAGTATTTCGTGTTTAACACGAGTGATAATCTAATTAATGAATAAAGAATCGCAAAACCATGCATGCCACGTAACAAAAACTTCAATCAAATAGGTGCACTTGAAATTATGACGACATTCAGTCCTACTCTCCGTATAAAATTCTTTTTGTTTTTTGACAATTAAATCCTTTTCTTTTTCCTGCCCTTTTCCCTACTTTTTTTCTTCCCTCTTTTGTTTCTCAATTTCTGTTCATTTCTTGAGAGTCTCTGTTTATAGGCTGATCGATCGAGCCCTCTTCCTGTATTTTTATTTTGGGAAATTACCCTTTGCTAAAACGTAAGATACCCTGGTTTCATTCTTGGTTTTCTTCTTTGTCCTTTCTTTAGGCTATCAAACAGGGAACAATTTGTTGGTGGTTTCTTTTGTGTTTTTTGGATACCCTTCCGACTATGGATCTCTAAATTAATTACGTTTTATTTGGATTTTAAGTTTAAAAGGATTGAAAGATGACGAATTTGGTTATATGTTTTTCTGATGCCTCATTTCCTCTCTTTCAAAGATAATGCCCTGTATTTGTTTCTAGTGAATTGTTTCATATAGATTTTTTGTTTCCCTTTTTCAATTGAGCAACATTTCTCTGGATAATGGGTGATTTTTGTTAATTATAAGAGAGTTAAGGCATTTTTATCTGCTTTTATGATAATGGTCACAAAATTCTTGCTAGTTTTTTCTATTTTTAGACTGGAATTATGCATGGTAGGATTGTATATTGATTTATGAATCACGATTTGTGTCACTCATAAGCAGCAAGCAGTGGTTTGAAGTTTTTGACTTTTTTTTTTTTTTGCAGTAAGCTAGTTGAGAATTTTATTGATCTTTTGCATGTTGTATTTGTGTCAGAAGAATATGAAGATGCTAAGCTTGGATCTTAGCATCTAGCTAGTGTGTACGTGAACAAACTTGTCAAAATTTCCAAAACCTTACAGCTTTGATTCAGGGTCATAAGCCAATTCAATTGACTAAAGATCTTTGAAGTTTTAATTCTAATTACAAACATTTACTCACTTCTTCAGATTCTTTTGATATTAAAAATCATTAAATAAAGAAATTTCACATTTTAATGGTAATCCTGGCAGGCGATTTTCTTGTTAAGAGATTGTGCTAAGACAATGTTCCTTGTTTGAGAATTTGAAATCAGTTTGAAAGGTTCTCAGTGTCTTTTTCTTCGATTTTGTTGTTTTCTTTATGTCAAATATGCTATATTGCCTGGCCAACCTTGCTTTCATTCATCTGCCGCAGTTACTTATAGCTCAATTTGCATGAATGTTTTACATGTTTTACTTGGATAATCAAGTATTGTATGGCCATTTTTTCATGAAAAGTTTTCTTTAACATTGTACTTAGCTTTAATTCAACTTTGATGAACTGATGTGCTTATTGCTGAAGTTAGTGGCTCATATTGGAGTTATAGATTTTGATCTATGTAGCAAGCTTTTGAGCTTTTATATTGATTTCAGGATGCTATAGGCTAGCTTTTGCCAAAAGAGAAGTAGGATTAAGAATAAGTGAATTAAATTAGTCATAATTTAGAGGTTGCTATCCTGCTTAAATGAGAAACCGGCAAATAAGCATAAGCATAAAAAAAAGACAATGTCTGGACCACTTTTTTTTTTCTAATTTCTGTCTAAGGCTTTAGTTTGTCTTTCTAAGCATTGCTATATAAGTGTAGGAAATAATTTACTTTGATTGATTTGAGGATTCCTTTAGTTATATAGACTATGTCATCTATTCAAAATACACCATTCTACACGCAAAACACTCAGAAAAGTGAACTTTCAAATGGACTCTGCGCAAACAATGATGTGTTTTGTTTGGTATTGGTTCTCTCAATGTATATACTTGGTTTTATCTCTGCATCAGCATTTATTTTTGGTGCAGTACATAAAACCTGAGGTTTCTTAGAATGCAGCATTTTGCTTTGCCCTATGCGGTTTACAAACATACAAGTTAATATGTGCCTTTTCACTCATATCAGATCAGTTTGTCCTAAAATGTTTTATAAATAAGAATATTTTGGATAATAGAAGTGTGTAAAAATGTGAAGTTCATTTCTTAAATTTTATTTTTGCAGAAATTGTAAAAAAGTAATTTTACTGCTGACATTTTGCAGGTAGTTTGGTCTTTAATTATATTGGCTCAAAATGTCTTCTCCAAGCAAGAGAAGAGAAATGGATGTAATGAAGTTGTAAGTTTCTCTTACATATTTACACTTCCATATTCAAGCTCCTATGATTAGATCTCTTTCTCTTTTGAAATTTGATGATGTTGAGGAAAGTTTGCAATTGTATTGCCTCTTCTGAAATAATATTTTCCATGGTGTTTTGGGCACTATTCTTTGCAATTTTCTAAAGCAGTGCTAGCAGTTAGCGTGGCCAAGGCACCCAGACCACATAACATTGGATTTGGATGACTTAATCACACAACATGTGATTTGGATAAGTTGGGGTGTTTTGAATTGTAAGGTAGCATCATGAAGATGCTTGTAGCAAAGATGATAACTGGAATTGAATTTGTTGAATTGAAACATTTCTTATCTGATAAATGGACTGGAAGTAAGTTAATAAAGGGACCGACAGACTGCTGCAAATTGGTTCAATTCGATTTGTCATCTTGCTGACTCAATTCTATCTTGCTATTTTTGTAAAATTATGGGTTGTATGAAGGTCTTTTGGTAACTGCGGCAACTGTGAAAAGGCGGAGATAGTTAATTTGTGATTGAAGATTATCATGAAGAAGTCTGTAGACTACATTATAAGTGAAAAAAGTTTCTTTTGCACCTGTTATTTGAAGTTCAGAACATTAAATAGATGATTTATTAGGGTTAACAAATTCTACCTTGTTAGTTTCAAGTGGGAATAGAATTTCTACTTTGTAGTTAATCTGTCGATAGCTTTAATGTTGCTTTATCTGAAAATGTTAGGACATGAGGTCCTCTGCGATGTGAGATCTCCTCATTTCAAGCATGGCAGCTTAAGCAGAGTGATTATGAGAAACAGTTGCAAAATTAATGTTCCCTTCGTGTGAGAAAAAGGGAGGGCGTGTAGGGCAGGACAGGACTTTAACCTGAATGGCATTGTTAATTTAATGGCCATTATTCATTAAATACTCATGAAATTCAACTGTGGCTATGGTAGTGTTTCTGTTTCTTTTCCACAATTAAGAAATCTATGAACAGCAAGATTTGTTAATGGTTTTCAGAATTTGCCTTTACTCTGTGGAGAGTTTATTTCATTTTGATAAGGCATTCTCTTACATATAACAACCCTAGAGATGGATTTCTCTTGTTTGCTTGATTGACTATTTTGTTATTTCTACTTTATCTAAATGAACTTTTAACCCATTTCCACTTTGTGAAAGCTTTACTGAATTTAGAAATTGCTGCCTAAATTTTGGATTTTAAGTCTGACTTGCTAATGAGTTTTTATCTCTTTAGCACTTCTCACCTATTCATTTTGTCCAGGATGATGAGTGATTACAATGTCGAAACAATAAATGACGGACTCAACGAATTCAATGTCGAATTTCATGGTCCCAAAGAAAGTATGCTTATGCTAATCTATTCAATATGTTCTCCCTGATTATGTGTTTGATATGATCCATCTCACATAGTATTTGTATGTTTAAGTAACCACTTTGGGGCAACACTAATACCCCGATTTTTTTTAAAATGAATTTTTATTAAAAACAGAGGGTACAAAATTCGTAATTACAAAGTCAACCAAAACCCCTAGATGATCAAATTCCCATAAATAGCACCCGATAATACAAGAAAGTGAAAAACAGGTGCCAAGCCATTAGAGAACTGTCCCATAGTGTTATGTTTGCTTATAAATTTGGGAACATATTGTTAAATTGATTAAATTTATTACACAGTTAGAGGGCTTTATCTATCTCTCACACATCTCCTTTTTCCTTTTCCTTTTATATAGTGGGGATTTGATTTTGAAACTTTATTGTGCGTAGAGTGTTTTCATCGTTATATATTCTTTTATTGGTCTGCTATAGCCTATAACTGTTGTTTTCTTTGGAAGTCTAAGTACTTGTTTTGAATCCATTTTTCTTTCTTTAATATCAACTGCAATGTTTGCAGGTCTGTATGAAGGTGGGGTTTGGAAAATCCGGGTTGAGCTTCCGGATGCTTATCCATACAAGTCTCCTTCTATTGGATTTGTGAACAAGATATTCCACCCAAATGTTGATGAAATGTGAGCAATTTATAATTTCAAAATTGACTCTTACAATAATAGACAAGGATTCTGGTAACTTTTTTTGTATTTCTGATTTTTTCATGCTGATTGTTATTCAAACTTTTGACAACCCAAAATTTTCCTGTATTCAAACAATTTCAGGTCTGGTTCTGTATGCTTGGATGTTATTAACCAATCATGGAGTCCAATGTTTGGTAAGCATCAGTTGACTACCATTGCTTACTAATAAGCAGCAGACGTTATTCATTTTCTTGATTGGCACCTTTACAACATAGCTCTACATTTTTTTTGCACTATTACCCTTTATTCTCCCATATAGGAATTTGTACAATCTGCTTTCTTTCTGGACTTTGTAAAGGGATCTGAGCTACAGATGATTTTTTTTTTCCTGCTGCAGATCTTTTAAATATTTTTGAAGTTTTTCTTCCACAGCTCTTACTTTATCCAAACCCTTCAGACCCCCTAAATGGAGATGCGGCTTCATTGATGATGAAGGATCAGAAGCAATATGATCAAAAAGTAAAAGGTGAAGATATTGAATTGGTTTACTCTTGTTTCTCTCTATTCATGATTGCACTAGCTGAATGGCTCCAAAATACTTTGTACATTTGAAAATTTTGTGATTTGGTGGTACCTCTGGATTAATGATATTCTTTAACATAAGACTTTGGTCCGTGAGATGTAGGAAAGAGAGAGTGGTTGTTCAATGAGTGTAGAAAACTTAAAGAACAATTGTCCTTATTTCTTCTTATTCAATCTAGAATGAAGGAGTATATCTAAATAAATACGAACAGTAAGTTCCTTATTAGGAAACAAATTACATGAAACAGAAAACAAAAAATAAGAAAAGGAGGGAGAATTATTCTATACTAAAATGAGACATATTCTTGAAATGAATTAGGAAATCAAGCTGCACTAATGTAGGAGAATCAGATTTCTATACTCCCTCGCAAGTTGGGTTATGAATGTTAACATTCTCAGCTTGGATTTCAATCTGTCAAAAATGCTTATAGGAAGATCTTTAGTAAGAATATCTGCAATTTGTGAACTTGTAGGGATATAGGCCAGTTTGACTGACCCATTTTCTATCTTTTCCTTTATGAAATGTTGGTCCAGCTTTACGTGCTCGGTCCTATCATGATAAACAGGATTTTTGGCAATACTTATAGTAGCCTTATTGTCATAAAACAGTGTCATAGATGTCACAGTCTGCACTTTTAATTCTCCAAGTAACCTCATCAGCCAAATTCTTTCACAAATGCCAAGGGACATTACTCTAAACTCAGCCTTAGCACTGTTTCTAGCTACAACAGCTTGCTTTTTACTTCTCCAAGTGACCAAATTGCTCCAAACATAAGTGCAACATCCAATAGTGGACTTTCTATCTGTTACTGATCCAGCCCAATCAGCATCCGTGTACACCTCGGTTGCCCTATCCGTTGACTTCTTACAATATAGACCTTTACTAGAACTCTTCTTTAAGTACTGTAGGATGCAATGAACAGCCTCGAGATGCTCCTTGGTTGGATTATTCATGTATCTACTCACCATCCCTACTGCAAACCAGATATTAGGTTGTGTGTGGGAGAGGTAAATAAACCTTTCAACTAGTCTTTGGTATCACCCTTTGTCCATGAGAAAGCTTTCATTTTTGCTTCCAATTTTATTAGTTGAGTCCATGGGTGTATCGGTAGGTTTGCATCCAATCATGGTGGTTTCTTTGAGTAAATCAAGTACATACTTACGCTGAGACACTGATATTCCATTCTTAGACCGAGCTACTTCCATCCTAAGGAAATATTTAAGGAACCCCAAGTCTTTTATTTCAAACTCCTTTCCAAGGAGTTTCTTCAAATCATCTATTCCTTCCTTGTGGTCTTCGGTGATAATGATATCATCCGCATAAACAATAAGAATAACTTTTTTTCCTACATTAGTGAACTTAACAAACATAGTATGGTCAGATTGACATTGAAGGAATCTATACCTCTTCATTGCCTTGGTCAACCATTCAAACCAAGCCCGAGGAGATTGTTTAAGTCCATGCAAAGATTTTCGAAGTTTGCACACTGCCCATGCTGTCTTGCTTTTTGAAACTAGGAGGAATTTCCATGTAGACATCCTCTTCCAATTCACCATTTAAGAATGCATTCTTGATGTCAAGTTAGTGGAGAGGCCAATCCAAGTTGGCTGCTAGTGACAATAGAACTCTAATTGAATTGAGTTTGGCTACAAGAGCAAATGTCTCCTCATAGTCTATCCCATAAGATTGAGTGAACCCTTTTGCAACAAGCCTAGTTTTGAACCTGTTTATACTTCCATCTACATTGTGCTTTATTGTGAAGATCCACTTACATCAGGTTTTTCCATTTTGGCAAATCTGAAATTTCCCATATCCCATTCTTTTCTAGAGCCTTGATTTCTTCAAGAACTGCTGCCTTCCAATCTTGTTCATTGAGGGCTTCCTGAATATTTTTTTGGAATTTGCACCTTCTCAAGGTTAGTAGTAAAGGCTCGAAAGTTTGGATTTAACCTGTCATGTGAGATGTACTTGCAGATAGGGTACTAGGTGCATGATCTCACACATTTTCTTAATGCAATAGGAACGTCAAGGTAACCAGCTGGCTCACAAGGTTCAGTTTCAGATTCAATAGGGACATTACCTGTGTTAGTTTCAGGTTCTTGGAGATTCACATCAGGTTGATTTTTAGTGCTGGGCTGTGTACAGTTGTCCACTTCTTCTTGTGATTTTTGCTTCCTTGAGTAGACTATCAGTTCTTTGTTTTGTTTTTTCATATAACCTTAGGGTTTAAAGAGTCAAGAGTTGTCTGAATAGGTTGAGTTTTGGAATCTGCATGGCTAATAGATTGGGTAGCTTGAGAATCTGGTTTTGAAGGGGCTGGTTGGGAATCTGGAGCTAGTTGGGAATCTGGTTTTAAAGGGGCTGGTTGTGAAATTGGCAAATCAACAGCTCTGAATATCGGTCTTGTTGTAGCATGGAAGATTCTCAAAGAAGGTGACATCCATAGAGCTATAGAATTTTTTTTGTGATGGGTGAGTAACACCTATAGCCTCTTTGGTTTGGGGAATAACCAAGGAAGATGCATTTTAAGGCTCTGAGATCAAGCTTGTTGCGGTTTTGTTGGCTAATATGAACAAAGGCAGCCAAATAAGTTGATGGGAATGGAAGAGATCAACTGAGTTTTTAAGCTTATTGATGGAAGTAGGTTACAGCTTAAATTAGGGATATTGAGGACAAAGTCAGGTGTTATGTCTTTCGAAACTACAATAGAACTTGTTCCTGCCACCTTTGAGAGAGAGCCATCAGCAATTTTTACAACAGAACTATTATAACAAGGTCTATATGTGTTGAATAAGGATGCATCTCCAATCATGTGATCTGATGCTCCTGAATCAACAATCCAAGATTATGTATTTCCCCATTGAACACTTAGCGTTTAGGAAATTACCTTTTTGTGCTAGTAAACTAGTTCCAAAGGTTGCAGACTTGTTTTGAAGGGATTGTTGGAGCATCACCTCTTTATGGCTTTCCTCATGCCATATCTCTGCAGAAGAAGAGTTCTCACTCCTGCTAGTCATAACGGAAACTCATGTGGTTACAGTTTAATGGTTCAAGTTGACTTGCTTTGACACCATGTAGAAAACTTAAAGAACAATTGTCCTTATTTCTTCTTATTCAATCTAGAATGAAGGAGCACATCTTAATAAATAGGAACAATGAAGTTTCTTATTAGGAAACAACTTACATGAAATAGAAAACAAAAAATAATAAAAGGAAGGAGAATTATTTTATACTAAAATAGAAACAAATCCCTAAAAAATTGACAATTAGAATAGTTGTCTAAATCAGAAGAATAAATAAGAAATATTTTCAAAATAAATTAGGAAATCAAGCTGCACTAATATAGGAGAATCAGATCTGTACTAATGTAGGAGAATCAGATTTCTATAATAAGTATTCATTTCTAGGCTGAGTGATGTAACTAGTGTCTTTTTTCTTCATGGAAACAGAATACTGTGAGCGATATGCAAAGAAAGAAAATATCACAAAATCCCCAGCTGACGAGGAGACCGATGATGATGAAGATGTCACTGATGAAGAAGCGGGATCTAGCGATGATGAAATTGCTGGACATGCAGATCCATAAATTAACTTTTAAGACCTGGCTTCTACGAAATAAACACTTGATAAAAGCCATGATGAAGCTGAACCCCTTGGTTGTTCTCCTCAGCATAGAAAAATAGAAATGGTGAGTGAAGTTAGCTGTTTAAACATACTAGGGCCCACAAGGAAAATGGGAAGAACAATTGATACATTAAATCAAATATTTTTATTAAACACAATCTGTTGTTTAGTTAGTTATTATTTGATTTTCTCAAATAGCTTGCATTTTCTTTCCTAATAGAACCTGTTCTAGGAGAATTCATTGTATTGTATTTGTATATGGTTAAAATTTTATATTTGTTTTAACCTTGTGCTGGAATATATAACTTAATAAACTTGTTTGCAAATACTTGTAAGTGTTTCTGTCAAATTGCAAATATCCAAGATAAGGTGTTTGCAGGGAGTGGAAGATCCCAGTTTTAAATGGAAATATATTAATTAATTGGAACTGTCAGTCACGTTGTGAATGAAACAACTGACAATCAGTCAGTCATTTAACTTATTTTTCTATTTAAGGGATGCTTTCAGCTGAACAAGCAATTTGCTCAACAACCTGAAGCTTGCTAAAACTACATGGTTTCGGCAGAGAAATTCCATGTGCGTCGTTTACTTTCATTTGATTGCTGGATTAAGATCCATGACAAAGCTGCATTTGTAGAATACATATATGTTTTTCTAGAGCCTGAAGAATTGGCTTGTGAGACGCCAACTGAGAAAGACATGGCAATTCAGAAATTCTTGTCCTTTTCACTTCGCCGGCGGTCAATTTTAAAATGCCATTTGGCCGTTTGGCTCTTTTTAAGTCATTTATTGACAGACATTTCCAGAACATAACAAACCATCTTTGTAAATTCAGCCATTTGGCAAGCAAAAATGATCAATTCAACACTTCCCACCTTGTTATTTTCTGTACGTTCTACAACAATTCATGATCAAGCAAGCCCTTTTCATAAAGGAAGGAAAAGCAGATCATCCTTCGCATTTTACCTAAACCTTGCTTATTCGTCGAAAATGAAGCGAGTTTCCATCGGGCTACTACCCATTTTGATCTTTCTCCTCTTAAATGTGTCAAATTCAGAAGATGAACAAGTGAAGCAATCTCTCGTGGGATTCATGGACAAACTTGCAGCTGTAAATGTAGAAAGAGATCAAATTTGGGGTTGGAACATGACTTCAGACCCCTGCAAAGACAAATGGACGGGTGTATCATGTGATTTGCAGTTGCAATCCGTCAAGAAAGTAGTTCTAGATGAGTTAAATCTCACTGGAGTTCTAGATATTGGTTCAGTCTGCAGGGCAAGTTCCCTCTCCGTGCTTAGCCTGAACAAGAACAATGTTGTTGGATTGATATCAGAAGAGATAGGCAATTGCAAAAGTTTGACACACCTGTATTTAAGTGGGAACCAATTATCCGGTCACCTTCCAGATTCTCTGAAACAGTTGAGTAATTTGAAAAGGTTTGATATATCCAACAATAACTTTTCCGGCGAGGTTCCTGATTTGTCTCGAATTTCAGGCCTAATTACTTTCCTTGTTCAGAACAATCAGCTTAGTGGAGAGATTCCAAATCTTGATTTCTCCAATCTGCTACAGTTCAATGTCTCTAACAACAACTTCAGTGGTCCAGTTCCTTATGTAAAAGGTCGGTTCTCTGCTGACAGTTTGTCGGGTAATCCTGAACTATGTGGAGAATTAATCTCAAAGGCATGCCCACCATCATCACCAGCACCGCCATCAACACGGAAATCTAAAGATTCATCAAGCAAGCAGATTCTTATCTACTCTGGTTGTGCAGTTCTTGGCCTTATAATTCTGCTATTTGTTGCCTTTAAATTAGTCAGTAAAAAGAAGCCAAAAGAAGAGGCTAATAAGGAAGTGGAAGCAAACACTAGCGGCAACAAGACTAGCAGTACTTCCAACGAATCCAAGACCACTGAGCGTAAGTCAGAGTATTCAGTAAGTTCTGCTGAGAGTGGAGTGGCCTTGTCACCCCTTGTAGTTCTTACAAGTCCAACAGCCCAAGGTTTAAGATTTGAGGACCTGCTTCGAGCTCCTGCTGAATTGCTTGGAAAGAGCAAACATGGAAGCCTTTACAAGGTAATGCTTGATAATGGGGCGACAACATTGGTTGTGAAGAGGATAAAGGACTGGAGTGTTACAAGTCAAGACTTCAAGAGGAGAATGCAGAGGCTGGACCAGGCGAGGCATCCGAATGTATTGCCATCGGTTGCATTTTATTGTTCCAAGCAAGAGAAGCTCTTGGTATATGAATATCAACGGAATGGCAGTCTTTTCAAGCTCCTCCACGGTAATTTCATTTTCATCAATTCTACCGTAGAATGTGATTTTATACCTTATAATTTCCATGGACAATGCAACAGATATGTATGCACAATAAGTAGACACAGTAGTTTGTGCTCCCTGGCAAGAACCACCACACTTGCTATAGGAAACCTGGCTTTTTGTCCCTAGGCTGCATATCATAATAGAAATGGAACTTGAAACAGTTTGCCCTGCTTCTATTTTGGGGGCTGCTGCTCAGCTATCCCATCCTCTAGCCAGACTGACAGTCTTCTGTTTTCACCGACTAATGATAGGAAACAGTTAACTGCTCAATAGTGGTTTAGACATGAAAGAGAACTTCATACAACTCTGCTTCCTTGTTGATTCAGGATCCCAAAATGGCCAGGCATTCGACTGGGGAAGCAGATTAAATGTTGCAGCTACTATTGCTGAGGTTTTAGCGTTTATGCATGAGGAGCTCCGTGACGATGGAATTGCTCATGGTAGCCTGAAATCCACAAACATACTTTTTAACAAGAATATGGATCCATGTGTCAGTGAATATGGGGTAATGGTGTTCGAGAGTCAAGACCAATCATCCCACTCTCAATCCAACAGCTCCAAAAACAATGATTTGGATCGTGGCCAAATCTATGGGAGCTTTAAAGCAGACATCTATAGTTTTGGGGTGATTCTTCTAGAACTTCTAACAGGGAAGCTGGTCCAGAATAATGGGTTTGATCTGGCTCAATGGGTGCAGTCAGTGGTTAGAGAGGAATGGACTGTTGAAGTCTTTGACAGGGCCTTAATTTTGGAAGGTGCAAGTGAAGAGAGGATGCTGAGCCTCTTGCAGATAGCACTGAAGTGCATAAATCCTAATCCTTGTGAAAGGCCAAGCATAAATCAGGTTGCTGTAATTGTCAACACGCTCAAAGATGAAGAAGATAAATCCAGCTCCGAACCATGACCACTCCAATACCATACAAATGACAGACAATGTGTGTAAAAATATTTGCTCTGGGGAATTTGCCTGTTGATCCATTAAATCCGACTTCAAATTTCTGTAGTTTACTAGCCCCTTCTTGTATGTCAAACAATTCTTTGCTTCAAAATTTATGATGTCGTGAAAATTAACTTTTGTTCACATATTATACAAATATACACCCAAGAAACAAAGATTTTCTTTGAACCGAAGGATTCTCATATTCATATGACAGTAAAATTATTATCACCATTCCTACTTGTTTAACAGTCTTTGATAAATTGTAGTGCACATGTATTGCGTACACAACAAATATGACGGACTTCTCAAGATAACAGAATCTATGGTTTTCCAAGTGATCTAATAAGCACATGTAACTTACACATAGAAAATTATTCCTAAATTATTCCAATATTTTGATAAAAATTTAAAAATATTTTTTCACCTTTTAAAAAAACTATTGTTTCCTTTAAAGAGTTTTCGCTTTTAGATTTTAGTTTTAAAAATTTTATTTTTTTAATAAAATCTTTCTATAATTTAGTAAAATTTTATTTTAAAAAGATTATTATAAAATCTTTCAATATTTTGATAAAATTTTATTTTTTAAATATAATCAAATCCATTAATAATTTGATAAAATTTTATAAATTTAATTTCTAATTTAATTGTTTTTAACCCATGAAATCCTATAGTAGTTTGATAAGATTTTATAAATTTAATTTAAAAAATAATTTTTAAATTTATGAAAATCTTTTAATAATTTAATAAGATTTTATAAATTTAAACAAAAAAACTCATGAAAATCTCAAATAATTTGATAAAATTTCATGAATTTAATCTCAAAAATTATTTTAAAACTCATAAAAATCTTTCAATAACTAAGTAAGATTTTATAAATTTTACATCAAAAAATAATTTTATGAAAATCTTCCTAGTAAGATTTTTAATTCCACAAACAATGTTAAAAGATTGACACATATTCTATTTTTATTTTTAATTAATTTCTTATTTTTTAAATATATCCCAAAAGGATATGTTATGTTTTTGTGTCACCTTTTTAATCTCAATTATGAAATCTAAAAATTTTACAGTTAATGTATTTAATAATTTTTTTATTTGTAAATGATAAAACTTTTGAGAAATATTCCCAATCTAAAAATATTGAAATAACCAAATAAATAATATAAAATAAGCATTAAAAAAAAACAAAAGAAAGAAAAAAAATAAAAAATTTTAAAAATCAGCCGATCAGCGGCTTGTCCAACGCAATCAACGGCTCAGTTCAATGTTAAGCAGCTTGATTTACGGTTTACTTGGCTCGGCTCGACTCAAAAGCGGCTTAAGTCATTGCTGCAGGTCACGAGTTGAAGACGATTGGATTGGGTCGGGTAATTCAGAATCGAGCGGAACTTCGTTGTATGAAAAGGCGCAGTTTGATTTAACCATAAATAACAAAATCAAAATTTTTTTTCTTTCATTTTCACCTTTCCCCTCCTTCTCCCCACTGCCGGAGAACCAATTGAACCTAAAAACAAGCAAACGTTTCCAGGATCTGGCAGTGTTCATCCATGTCGACCGTCGCTTATCGCCGCTGGCCACCATTGTTAGCGATGTAAAACCAAAAAAAAAAAAAAAAAATCCAAAACTCGTCAGCTTTGAAGAGGAAGAGAAATATTAGGTATTTGAGTATTTGTATACTGGCTAAAAGGTTTGTGCATGAAGGGATTTATCTCCAATCCACCTCATTATTCGGAGAAACTAAAATAAGACACAGCTATGCAAGTTGAAGTTTCATAGACCAACCAAATCAGGCACAAACATTGTGCTCCGAATATCCTTCAACACTTCAACAACAAATGTATTTTTCAGAAAAAAGGTAGACCAGATGAGACGACTTATCTGTGCTTTTTCTGAGTTATTCACACAATAATTGAAAACTATGAATGCAAAACAAGGACAGCAAATCCAGACACTAGGTTTTGCACTGTTTATTTTGAAATTTCCTCAGATACAAGCAATATCATATCTGGAAACAGCCTTCATCTTGTGCATCTAATTAGCAAATATTATTATAACACTGAGGCCCTCACCCAGTATGACAGATAAAACAGAATGAACCTCTTAATTTCTAAGTGAATGGTCACCTCTCCCTTAATTTGCATTTTGAAACCATGTCATCCTCTCTGCCACCTGAATCTAATTCTAATTTAATGATTGAACAAGTAAAAATAGTCTACAAGAGTTTGGGTTCTCCTGAGTACTTTAAAAGAAATTATCTTAAATACACTTACCAAGACGGTGCAGGCAAGCCAAGTTTAGGCTTATTCACACTGTAGACACCCAAGTTTGCGGATAGTCCTGATAACTACATTGAAGCTTATTCACAGAAAAGAATTAAGAGCTGCTGCACTGACCAAGTCGGTCAGTAAACATTGCATAGTGAAGATACTTATAAAAAAAAAAAAAAGGCATAGTGAAAAATTCAACTAGATTGGTCATGATAGAACTTAATGAATTAGAGCGAAATAACAAACATTTTATAACATCATCCAGTCCTAACATATTATAATGTCTAATACACCACAAGACATGTAATTAATAAGGTGTTATTCTCACATTGGTTTCGGTAGCCAGGGCTAAAAAGAGGCAGCCCTTTTTCTAAGTGTTGCAGCTTCTGTAAACTTGAATAGCAACAGAAAGCGAGGTCATAACTTAGTAGACAAAGGAACCTTCTTTTGACACATTTTTGGCAGGTCTTTACTGAATATATTAGCAACAAACTTCCATAGCTCGCTAAGCCAAGAAAATATCAGAATCTCTCAAGAATTACAAGGTATATTACGATAGAGATTAAAAACACAGGAATTTTACACAGTGAAATGGCAACATGTACTCTTACTATTAACCAAAGGTATCAGTGCAGGTTAAGTTTGTTCACAAACCACATTAAATTTGCCATACTGTAAAAAGCACAAGCAACTTACTAACTGTTATTATCATAATATATGAAACGTTGAACAAAGACTATCTAAAATTCATTTAACAGCAGATAACAGGACCTGAATTACAATGAAACAGCTCTTCCTACCTTACCACTATGGATGCTCCAGAAGATTTTTCCAGTTTCATCAGTATTCCCGCAATCAATAGCAATAGCACCAAGTACTGCTCGAAATGCATCGCAAACTATGGTTGGGTTTGAAGGATCTGTCTTTGGAGAAACTCGAACCACTTTTTGCAGGCCCAATCGCGTCCCATCAACAGCACAGGAAGATTCCACTTTGGAAATCTCTGATATGAGCTTGTTGAGTTCTTTTGAAGACATATCAATATCTTTTTCAAGGGAACGGAGCGAAGCTGATGTCTCAATGACATGGGTGCCCAGGACGCTCAATGCCTTGTTGTTCTCTTCAGAGAAGGAGGCATGGGTCATGGCACGCCGAAGCAGACTAATGCTCTTAAAAGTATAGCTGAAGGTGGGTTTCAGAAAAAGTAACAAGCCTCATTTGAGTGTCATAACAAGAAAATCTAAGTCATAGATAAATAAAATAAAATTAGATATTAAATTTTATGATTCAAGTTCTTCTGCAACCCCATCTTTCCATGACTAAAGAAGTGAAAGATTATTACTTTAAATCAAAGGGGAAAAAACCTTTATCAGAGAAAAAAGAATTTCTTAATTGATTTTATTTGAATGGTTCATTCATTTCATTTCATTTTCTGGGTTTTCTTTTTTTCTTTTCTTGATTTTCAGTACAGTTATTGTATATCAGCAAAATAATTATCATCACTGAGTCACTAATCAAAAGGGAGTTGATAATACAAAGTTATAAAAAAAAAAAAAAAGAAAACTTGCCCAATTTGTTTCTGTAGAGTCTCAAGAGCTTGTGAAAATGGTGACGAAGGTTTAGAGCGCCGATCTTCAGACTTTCCTGCTGCATATGCCTGCACTCAGAAAAATAAGTTTCTTTCTATTGTATACTAATAAATCTTCAATTTTCAAATTGCTTTATTTTCATTCGTTTCCTCTCTGACCTTTCTTTTTTCTTGGGAAACGAACAATATTGATCAGGGTTAAATGATATACCTGAGGAGCAGAGGACAATAGTGTGAAGAAGAGAACAAAAGTGAAGACGCTGAAGAGACGGAAATGCATTTTTCTTTTCTATTTAATTTGCTCTGTAAAAAGTGAAAATCTGCTTCGCTTTCTTTCGTGGGTGATGAAAATTGAAAACTCCAGAAATCGGGGTTTTATGATGTTTTTTCTCCTTCTCAGCTAAGTTACTGATTTTTGCTGTAACTTGACTTGTGTACGTATAAATAAAGTACTTCAAATTGTTAGCCCCTTTCAACCCATTGAAGGAAGATTGGGTTGTGGTTTCACCAATAAAATTCCTTGCTTTAAGTTTCACTTTCAACCCAAATTTATTCAACCCATTAAGTAGAGAATTGATGGTTTTGATTTTCTCAACCCACATTGTAATTACACAAAACTCCGAATTTTTAATATTTGAAAATAATAATAATTATAAGAGTTAAATACATTTTTCATATTAAAGTTTGAAAAAAAATGTACGAATTTATATTTGAAGATAATAATAATAATAATAATAATAATAATCCTCCCCAAATCAAAAGTAAAAAAAAAAAATTGAATTAATTAAAAAGATTAATGACCTCAATTGATATAACTTGAACCAAAAAACTATTCCACCCCAAACAATTGTTACATTCAAGAAAATGTTATCTTTGCACCATGGCACGGTGCACTATAAGGATGATAATAGGTATCATTTAATTAGGTATTTGACAATATGTGATTCGATTATATCATGTTTGGGTGTCTTATAATTGGTGTCATAACATTTAAGTTAGAGAATTTGTTTAATAGATGCAAAAATCATAGAGTTATCATTAATCTTTTTTATTTAGATGTAATTAGTTACTTATATAAATTTATCTTTTTTAAAGTTATCTTAAGTATAAACTAAGAATCCTTACAAAAAATAAATTTTGGTTTACATCAATAGAATTAAGTTTGAGAGTCGGTTATGTACAAGAAAAATATTAGTATCCCATTACGCCTAAAATTGATATCACATTAATTATATATTATCTTACTTAATCCTTAATCAAAGATGATTTTTTTCATGCACCTAAATCAATTCCAATCCTTTTATTTATTTACATGACATAGTCATACAAAAATTTTATCAAAATCAAATCATGTAATCATGCCATCATGTAATATTATTAGATAATCATGCAAAAATATAAAATATCATCATGCAATAATATAAAATCATGCAAAAAATTATCATGCAATAAAAATATCATGTAATAATATCATGCAAAAATTATCATGCAATAACATAACATGTAATGCAAAAATATGCAATAATATAAAAATCATGTAATAATCATTCCAAAAATATCATAATAAATAAAAAATAATCATGCAAATATTTAATAAATTATGAAAGCAAATTAAATTCATGCAAAATATCATACAAATATATTAATACTCATGTAAATATTTAAAAAAATCATGTAAATAATAAAAAATTATGCAATTAATATAAATAATCATGCAATTATAATATTTTACAAATAATCAATCATTTAATTAGTAAATCACATAAATAAATATATTAATAATCACGCAAATAAATTATAAATTTTTATCAAAATTTTTTTTTCTTTGCCTTGTTTTTTTTAATACAATCACACAATTAAAATAATAAATAATAAAAAATAGAATATAAAATATAAAATAAACAAAAAAAGAAAATACATAAATAAAAAATGAAATTGGAAAGAAAAAAAAAGCAAAATCATGTGATTTGGGTTGGCTTTTATCGAGTTGATATGCAGATCTACTTTAAGTTGAGACGTGGGTCAACTCATTTCAAAACGACATGTTGTAGTCTATATAAAACCCCCCCAAAAAAATTCTTTTTTTTTTCTTTTGAATTCACTCCTTCCTTTCTCTAAGCAAGTTTTTCCAACTTCTTTCTAGATTTGCAAAAGAAATTCATCCAATTTAATAAAAAAACGGTAGTGAAACCCAGATTCCAACCACCGTAAGTTCTTCTAGTTGCTGTAAAGTTCATTGAAAAATTCAAGATTTGTCAAAAAATTCAAACAAATTAAAAAAAAACCTAGAAATTTTAAAAAGCCCAAAAACTTAACCTAAATTCCAAAAAAGAAGCAAAATACACAATTAACACCTAGAAACAAATCACAATTTTTCCCCAAAAATTAAATAAATATCCCAGAAATAAGCTCAAACAAAAACCAAAATCAAAATCAAAACCTAGAAGACTTCTAACAAGCTCGATTCTAAAAATCAAACAAAAACCTAAAGATTAGGACAAACCACTTCCCAAACAACTCTAAGAACCCAAAACCCCAAAGCCAAATTTCTAGAAAACTCAAAATTCAAGAACCATAAACCTATAAATTTTTTTTTTAGTTGCTATGAATGCTTAAATAGCTTTAAGTTTGCTTGAGCTTGTTTTGCCTATTGCTTGTTATGTCCTTTAGCTCATATATTGAAGCTCTTTTTAAAGGGATTCAATCTCTCTAGATTTGGAAAACTTTAAATTCCATTGAATTTAGGAATATTTTCCTCAAATTCAATTTTATATAATCTTTTTTTCTTTCATTAAATTGAGCCTCAAGTCTTTCCAAAATTAATCCATCGCTAAATTTCAAAATCTGAGATTGGATCTAAAGTCAAACAAATCCAAGATTTTCAAGAATTCTAATTCTTATGTTTTTCTTTCAGTTTTTTGAAATTTTTTTACTTTGACTTTGATAAATTTTGACCAAAATAAGATTAAATTAAAATTAAAATTAAAAGCAAAATTTAAATTTAAATCAAAATTAAATTAAAATCAATGCCTTTTTTGTGGGTTTTTAATCTTTTGGGCTCGGAATTTTTTTGTGTTAAGGTCCAATTCATAATCGAAACCCATTTCAATTTCAAAAAAAATTTTTAGACAAAATGGAGTATCTATAATTAGTTTATATATTTATTTTAAACAACAAGACATTTAAAAAAAATAGGATGATAAAAGAATATTAAATATTTTAATTAATTCAATTTCATATATAAATTTTTTTAGTTTTTCTTATAAAAATCCTTCCTTTTTTAAAATTTTAAGCAATTAAACTATTTTTTTTATTATAAGTGTTGATTTTAAATAATTTAATTCCATCAACAAATAATTAAATATTTTTAAATCATATATCTCAAATCCATACAAATTTTAATTTTGCTAAAGCCCAAGATATATTTTTGCCTTTTGTGCTGAATTGAAATATAATTTGGGCCTGACTTTTAGTTGCTAGAATAAACTCAAAGAAAATTTAATTTACTTTCTCTTTTAGGTTTGTTCCAATTTTTTTTTTCTTAAGGTAGTATTTAATATCTTTTATAAAATCATCATAGTAATGTAATCATCAGAGTGATTTTATTGCTAAAATGATCTTGACGTTCATAATTTGAAATCATTTTATTTGATTAATAATCTTTAAATTTTAAGAATTAAAAATCACTATATTTGATTTTATTTAATATCAAACATGATTTTGTTTAAAAATATGAAAATAATCATGTATAGTAATAGTTATACAAATTAATAATTTTAAAGTTGTTTAAAAATAAAATTTTGTAAAATATTAGTAGTATTTATTTATTTTATAATAAAATATAATTAAATTATTAAATTAATAATTATATTTATTGATAGGTAATTGATTTTTACAATATAAATTATGTAAAAAAAATTTGAATTAGAAAAAAAAACCAATCTATTAAATTCATAATAAAAGAAAAACAAAAAATTATATTATATATAAATTCTTTAAAAAGTAAAAAAATACACAAATTATTTTTGAACTTATTACAACGAATATTACTTTGAAAATATAAAAATATTACAATTTTCAGATGCAGCAAGAATTTAATTGATATATTAAACAGATAAAATTGATTATTAATTTTACATATCACTTCACCTCGGTAATAAAAGTTTTTCTCTCTTTTATATGGGAATTACATCATTCTCTAGACAATGTGTTGAACATTACATATTACTTGAGCTAATTTAGCTCCTTAATTTACTCAAAGTCGTTGTAGTATTACTGCTCAATTTCCTTATTGCTTTGCAATACTACAGCTTATAAAATCAATATGGTAGATTAGCAAATCAAAGACATTCCATGTTTATCTACAATAATATCAGCAAAATCACATCCAGTCATCTTTCCTAGTTTTTTGATTGACCGTTGTCTAATACTAAAAGATGTTTAGGCAATAGTTGCTAATTCTTGGTTAATTTTTTCTTTTTAAAGTTACTTTCTATTTTACTATAAAACTCTTGTAAATAATTCTTTTTCATATATATATATATATATAATCTTGATTACATCAATGAAATTTATAGAGTTTTGTACTTTTTATTATAAACACAAACTTACAAAAGCTCAAAACTTTTACATGATATCAAAGCTAGATTCAAGCAAACTTTGGGTTAGAGATTTAAGGTTAAACAAGAAACATTAATACTTGAAAAACTAGAATAAAAAGACTTGAAGTGGCAATCAAATATTCAACAACTAAAAGCTCAATGAATGAAGTAGCTTTTGCAATGACCACCAAAGAGAAGCCATTGCACTACCAGCTAAACAATTCTAATAGGCCAGGTGATCATATTGTAACTCACTTGTTGAAAGGGATAAATTATCCTATTTAGAGATAAACCATTCTCATGCCTTTAATTCTAAACACAAGATAAGGTTTATCAATGGTAAAATACCAAAACCAGTAGCAGGAAATCCATTCGAAGAAAATTGGGAAACCTATAATGCAATGGTAATGTCTTAGCTATTAAACTCTCTTAATGAAGAACTTCATAGTAGTATGGCTTAACATGATACAACTAGTGAAATTTGGAAAATGCTTGAGAGGTTTTTTTTTTTTAAAAAAAGTGGTAAGATTCATGAGATCAAGAAGGAAATCACTAATACTTAGCAAAAGGACATGATAACATTAGCCTATTATACCAAGCTTAAAATTTTGTAAGATTGACTTGGAGTTTATCTTCATGCACATGTAGAGTAATAACTGTAAAAAAAGAGTAAGAAAAATTTCACTTGTTTATAATAGGACTAAATGATTCTTATTCAATGGTAAGATCAAACATTTTATGCATGAAACCATTGCCTACTTTCAACAAAGCTTACTTCTGCTATGTTCTGAAAAAGTACATCAAAGTGCCAACCTAAGATC